TTTACGCAACCGAACTTTTTTTTTCGGAATAAAAAATAGCCTATATCACTCTCCTCTATAGCCGATTCGATTGACCGGATTAGATCGATCTGGTTCAATTTAAGTGAACCACACTGTGTTCGATTCAAGCTGGATCAGTGCAAACTCATCAACAAAAAAATGATCTAGATCAGAAGAAGTTCACTTAAATTGAACCCAAATCGATCTAATGTGGGTCAATCGAATTCACCTTATATAGAGATACGTGGTATCAATTCAAGATCGGTCCAGCCGTTCTTGAATTAAAAAAATAATAAAGTTATGTCGGTTGAATGCAAGCCTAAATAAATGAAATATGGCAACGTTGTTTCATGCTGTCAAAAAAAGTTGGGTTATGTTGTTATGTAATGTGAATGAGTTTGTTTACAATTAAATTAATAATTAATTCAAAATTAATTTCTTTTAATCTTTTTCCGAGATGCGTAACCTATCCATAAACCTTCCTTGGGATAGCCATAACAACCTACCAAAGTTTCAGCATAATCGGATAAGTGGTTTTGGAGCGCATATCCGGATACCCCGCGAACTTTGATTTTTATATATATATATAGATAGAAGATAGATAGATAGATTATATTGAACTGGATTCTAAGTTTGAAGTCTCTAAGGAACTCCTGCGAGATTGAACATGCACTGGATAAATGAAGTGACCGATGATGATACCTATGTCGTGAAATAAAAGAAAAAAGTTGAGTAGGTACTTAATATTATTTTTATACTGTTCAGCTTAGGAAGAAGGCAGTTTATTTTTCATCTGCAAATATTTTTTTTTTATTGATACCCTATTTCACTTATTTACAGTACTCCTCAGCGTGTTTAAAGCCAACTTTCAAAAACGCGCGTGTTTTAAAGTTACCAATGACAACATCAACAACCAACAACCCGAGAAAGGTCTAAATGTCAACTTTTTAATTATTGATTTGTCAGGAGTAGGTTAGGTACTTGTAGATAACGTCAAATAAAATGTAACAAGTGTCAAGCACAAATTTGCATTCTACAATTATTAGTAATTTATGATTTGAACGTATACCAATAAAAAAAAATAGTGTAAAGTATTCGTGGATAACTGGTCTTTAAAACACTTGCTCTATTTCGAGCACTCGGCTGCGCCGTCGTGCTCGAAAAATCGCGCGTGTTTTAAAGACCTTAATATCCACTTATACTTTAATATACTATTTCCTACAGCCGTGCGGAAAAATCGATTTTCCGCACTGATATGCGTGCGGAAAAACAAACAAAAATTCTACATTTTCACGCCTGTAGGAAAAATATTGTACCTTACACTTGCGGAATAGCTATTTACCTAACAAGTGCGGAAAAATATTTTCCGCAAGTGTTAGGTACAATATTTTTCCTACAGGCGAGGCGTAAAAATGTAAAATTTTTCTTTCTTTTTTTCGACATATCAGTGCGGTAAAAATTTTTCCGCACTGATATGCGTGCGGAAAATGAGTTTTCCCGCACGGTGCGGTAAAACTTTTTTTTTTGACATATCAGTGCGGAAAAAGTTTTTCCGTTTTTTGACATATCAGTGCGGAAAAAGTTTTTCCGTACGGCTGTCAGGAAATAGTAGTCAGTGCGGAAAATCGATGTTTTCGCACGGCTGTAGGAAATAGTATATTGTAAAGTGCCACTTTTCCGCACGCGATTGCAGTTTGCCAAACGACGCGTAGCGGAGTTCGGCAAGCAATCAAGTGAGGAAAAGAGACTTTCCGCACGAGTTAGGAATACTATTTTTTCTACGAGCCAGAAGGAACGAACCTACGTAATGTAAATTTTAACACCAATATTTGATAATATTTCTTCTTCAACACCTGGTATTAAAAACAAATCGCGTAATTTTTTCTTATGTACTTTTACAAATAAAACTCATTTATTTATTAATAAAAAAAAAAACTAATTTTGAAATAATGTGCCTTATTCTGAAGACAATAAAATCGAGAACTTTTAACAATAATTTGTACGTTTGATGTATCTACTATGAAATTTTCGAAATTTTTAAACATAAAGTAACCATTCTATAGTAATTTCACAAGAAAAGTTGAGTTTAAACCAAAATAATTTAATAAATAACGTTATTGTGTCAATAATTCTCAATGCTGATATTTGTGTAAGTGTGTCAGCTCATAATTTAAAAATTGACATCTGTCTGAAACTTTCCAAACTAAAATGCGTGCGGAAAAGTGTACTTTTCCGCACGCTCGTAGAAAATAGCTATTTACCTAACAAGTGCGGAAAAATATTTTCCGCAAGTGTTAGGTACAATATTTTTCCTACAGGCGAAAAAATGTATTTTTTTTTTAACATATCAGTGCGGTAAAAAAAAATTCCTACTCGCGTGCGGTAAAGTACACTTTACCGCACTCATTTGCGTGCCGTAGGAAGTACTTTACCGCACCCAGTGCTGTAAAAATTCTTTACCGCACTCAGTGCTGTAAAAATTCTTTACCGCACTCTTCCAATAATACGTTTGTAATTGTTCACATTCTTCATTGTATCGGTCCTGGGATGTTTGTGGAATCAAAGAGCCGACTGCTGCATTTCCTAGTTCGAATATTTCTTCATTGAAGGTCTCCATCTCTCAAGAATTTATTTTATATCAAAAATTGGAAAATTTGAACCACAAAACACGAATCTATCTGAACTTCCAATGTGGTATCTTCAGACGCCAATTAAAATATTGATTTGCTACCATGGGAAAAATAAAATGCAACGCAGCAAATTTTGACAAATGCCACCGATACTAGACGTTTAACCAAATTCTTGTCATAATAATTTTGACATGAAAAATTTTAATCAGCCACCAGTTGCAATTTATTTTTACTTTGATTTCCAATACCTTTTTTCTCAGTGCGGTAAAGAATCTTTACCGCACTGTATCAAAATTTATAAAAAACATAGAAATAATTTATTTGCTTCGCGTTATGTATTAAATAAAAATATTTATTGTTTTTAACAATCAATGTTAGCTACTTTTTATGTATTTTTTTTTCCAATTAGATTTTCATTCCAAAAATTATGTGCTCTGAAGGAAAAATTTTGTACCTAACACGTGCGAAAAGTGACTTTACCGCACGCGACGGCAGTTGTCCACTTTCCGCACTTGTTAGGTAAATAACTATTCCGCACTGACAGCCGTGCGGAAAAAAAATTTCCTACAGTCGTGCGGAAAAATCAATTTTCCGCACTGATATGCGTGCGGAAAAATTCACTTTCCGCATTTGTTAGGTAAATAGGTATTGCGATTGTCGGAAACATTTGATACTAATTACTTTTTCTCATTTGCAAAGTCCAGAAGCCCGCACCCAAGTACCTACATGTTCACTATTATTGCATTCATATTTGCACTATCTACTGATTTTGTCCGATTTATCTCACCAGGTCACCAGTACTCGTTGCAGTAGTTTAATTTGGTTTCTTATTAGTCGGAATGAAGGCACGATTATAGAAATTTTGAATTGTCAACGACTCACCCTCGCCACACATTATTTATTTTATCGGTTATAAAATTAGTTTTTTTTGCAGACGTACCTTTAACTTATTTTCAGGCATTACTTGGAGGTTGAGGAAGCTTAATACGAAATCTGTCTGAAAAATTATAAATTTGAATATTTATATTTGTCTTAGCTCTTTTAAGTTTTCAAAAAGGCAATAATGGAAATAAATCACGAGGCAAGATATTTTCAAAATTAATTTGCTGCATATCTGAGCTGTCTGGGTTCTTGATAAAAGTTTGAACTCCTTTTAGGGTGGCCCGCCAAACAGGGACGTAAAATTATTTATTAAGCAGGGAACTTGCGAATCAAAAGTTAATAATGATTTATGAGAAGCAATTGGTCGGGCAATTTAAGGGCAACTTATTATTTTTAGAGCCTGTTGGCTATTATTTATGATGTTCCACAAATTCTCGTTCTTTCGCTAAAAATCAAAGAAAATCAAAATCGTATATTAAAGTATAAGTGGATATTAAGATTTTTCGAGCACGACGGCGCAGCCGAGTGCTCGAAATAGAGCAAGTGTTTCCAAGACCAGTTATCCACGAATACTTTACACTATTTTTTTTTATTGGTATTCGTTCAAATCATAAATTACTAATAATTGTAGGATGCAAATTTGTACTTGACACTTGTTACATTTTATTTGACGTTATAGGTTTTTTACGTTATATTTAGGATGACGTCATAGAACAAAAAGAGACAATGTTGTCAATGCCTTTTTTTTTCTTATAATTTATCAGAATGTCACGTGATAGTAGACCTATCTATTTTACCAACCAGAGAGGTAATAATACGAAAACTTCATTAGATAAAAAAAGACACAGAACGCTCATTGCGCGAGACGAGGCAAAATGTACCAAATTTTGTTAAACTCACGTATGGCAATCCATCCTCCTTATTTGCACGGGATAAAAAGAGAAGAAGAAAAACCGCGTGTTTTGCAACGTATATTTATCAATGAAAATTTCAAACTTCTTTTGAGTGTCACTTGTCAAGCTATGTCAAGTTGAATATCAACCGTACTTTTATTTTTGTCAGACCACGAGCAATGAACAAGGACAAGGAGATGTCCAGCGTGCAAAACGAAGACTTCACACCTGTACTAGTTAGCTAATAAAAAGACTTACCTCATGTTGCGCGCGCATAGCAGGTAAAAATAGATAGGTCTTTCCTGTCAAACGAAAAGGAAAATAGGTAGGTAATTTACTCACATGCCTCATAGCAGTAAGAAGCAAAAATGGTCGCGTTCCGGCTGGAAATACGTTATTAATTATACTACCCTTTCCTGAGGCCGACTCCGACAAACCTCCTGGCATTTTCTGAGTAAGTTTACGCTACGAAGAAGTACTGAATTCTTGAAAGAACTTTTTTCTAACTGTAACGTATTTTTGGCACTTAATAGACCTATCTCGCATGATTAGAAAAAGAGAGCTTAATTGTAATAAATACAAGTTAGAAAGCAATAAAAGATGACATGCGCGCGCAGCTCGTAGGCTGCAGTGTAGCCAGATTGTATTTTTGCAGAATAAATGTAGACAATACAAATCGAATATTATAACATAAAAGAAGTGATATAGTGTCAAGTGTTTTACAATGCCTTATATCAGACAAAAGAAGAGTTTTAAAGTGGATGAACATCGTTTGCACTTTTATTTTGATAAATGTTTCCTCCGGCAACATCGCTCAATGAAATTGCAAAGGAATATGTCAAGTATAATCTTAAACGAAACTGCGGTGAGTTCAAGTAATATGTAAAGAATTAGTTTGCTCTTTGTCAAATTACACGTTACAAAGAAAGAAGGAACAATTCATTCTGAACTGGCCCCTGAATAAGAATATGATGCAAGCCTGTCACAAACTTGCTTCTCATTCCTTCTGGGCACCGTTGCCGCAGATGACTATACCAATTTTGATGACTTTTACAAAATGGTAACTGATAATATTACAGCAGCTTCTGCCTACGTTCTACCTACAGATAATAGTGCCATGCTTGAACTTAGCAGCAGTTCACCTGCAACTGGTAAGAGCCTAACATTTAAAAATAATAATACCATTCAATAATAACAATGATACGTTTCTTTAGATATAGATCCAGTAGATTTTATAATAATTGGTGCTGGTTCCGCCGGTACAGTTTTAGCCAATAGACTAACCGAAGAAGCAAATTGGACCGTCTTATTACTAGAAGCGGGAGGCTTAGACAACAATTTCACAGACATTATTGGCCTAAGTAGTGCTTACACGATATTTTCTGAAATTAATTGGGGATATAATTCAACTGCTCAAAGCAATGCTTGTCAAGGTAGTAATGCTTTGTGGATATTATTCCAAATCGATTACTATTTGAGTTAATTAGGTATGGAAAATAAGCAATGCGCTTATGCTAGAGGCAAAGCTCGCGGCGGTAGCAGCACCATGGACCATGGAGTGTACGCCAGAGGCAACCCCTTGGACTACGACAGGTGGAGGGATTTGGGAAATCCCGGATGGGGTTGGGATGATGTTTTTCCTTATTTTCTGAAATCCAAAAACGCTGTTTTTGAGGGACAGGATACAGATTTTCACGGTCACGTAGGTTATATGCAGGTGGATGTTACTTCGCAAACTCCTGGAGTGGTAAGGGAGATTAATAATAATTATTGTCATTTTTTGGTTAGAAATTATTATGAGAGATCGAAGCACAACTGAAAAATCATATCTATGTTACAAAATGTTTGCTTTTGCATGTATCTCCAACTGTCTTATTGTTGTGTAGTTCTCACCATCATTTTATGGAGGTTTTTAATTAACGCTTTCCGACTAGAGGCTTCGCGGCTTTCAAACTTTTAAGATAGAATAGAATAGTAGCTTTATTTCAAATTAAGTTTTTACAATACATATTACAGCATTACAAAATAACATGAAATGAAATGGCGTCACAAAACAATATACTTAAATTACATATCCAAGTAATCTTTCACACAATATGGTTCTATGTCTATTAACAATTTCTTGGTTTTATTTTTAAATTCCTTGTAGTTTTCTATTATTTTAAAGTCGTTTGGTAATTTATTAAATATTTTAATACAGTTATAAGATGGATTTTTTTCACTTAAAGTTAATCTATGAATAGGATTATAAATATCTGTGGTCCTTGTATTGTATGTGGTGTTAGTGTTATGTATTAAAAATTCATTTTTGTTTTTATGCAAATATAAGAGGCACTCGTGTATGTATAGACCATAAACTGTTAAAATACCCAACTCCCTGAAATTGCCTCTACAGGAGTCTCTGAAACTCATGTTAAGCAATAACCTGATAGTTCGCTTTTGGACTACAAAGACTGATTGTGTTGAAGAACTGACTCCCCAGAAAATGATACCGTACCTCATCCGAGACTCAAAATTTGCATAGTAAAGGATTTTTTTTAACTTTGTCTTCTACATATTTGTTTAGTACTCTGAGTGCAAAACAAACACCGTTCAATTTTTTCACTAAACTTTCAATGTGTGTTGACCATTTTAGAAATTCATCAATTATAACACCTAAAAATTTAGTGTGCTCTGATATGTCAATTTCCTGATTATGGATACTTATTGCTGATGGTTTCTCTTTTAGTTTATTAGTGCGAAAAATCACAATGCTTGTCTTGCTCTCGTTTATAACTAGTTCATTTTTCTCAAACCAATCCTCTGCTCGAGAATATAGCTCATTGCTTTTTTCTTCCAAGTCATGCCGATCCACTCCGGCAACCAGGAGATTGGTATCATCCGCATAATTTGTTATTGCAGACTCTTCGAATCCGCTGCACACCGAACTCAGATCGTTTATCATGACCAGGAATAGTATCGGCCCTAGTATGCTCCCCTGGGGTAACCCCACCTGATTTTGCAGCCATCCTGATCTAGATGAGTTATTGTTCTTATAAATTTCCACACATTGCCAGCGATCTGATAAGTATGAGGTCAGCCAACTCAGAGCTCTTCCCTTTATACCATAATTTTTTAGCTTTTCTTTTAAATAGTTTCTGTTTAGGCAGTCAAAAGCCTTTTATAAGTCGATGAATAGCCCAGCAGCTAATTTATTTTCTTCAAGAAATTTGAGTATATTATATGTAAATTGAAAAATTGCTGTATTTGTCGATTTACCCTTTAGATAGGCATGTTGTGATGAACTAACCAGATTACATTCATTAAAAAAACTTAACAGTCTAAGGGACATTGCCATTTCAAAGATTTTTGAAAAGCTATTTAGCAAACTTATGGGTCTGTAATTTTCTAATTTTTCTGGATCTCCTGACTTAAAAATCGGTTTTATGAGAGTTACCTTTAGCTGGTTAGGAAAAATGCCAAATTTGAATGAATTATTTATAACATAACAAATAACTATCTTTATACTTGGAATGCTAAGTTTAACAATATTCACGGGAATTTCATCAATGCCACTACTTAGTTTATTTTTAAGTTTTTGAGATATTTCTATTATTTCTTCTGGGGTAAAAGGTCTTATATATAAAGAAGCATTGTTTTTTATGTTGTCACAATTGAAATTTTTACTGTTCTTTATTAGATTTGGAATTAATTCAATTAGAAAGTTATTGTAATTATTGGCTATTGATTCAGGTGTCCCCAAGATTTGGCAGTTTGCATTTCTGGGAGAGTTGCCCTGAATGTTGTTGCATACTGTCCACATTGCTTTATTTTTATTATCTGATGATCTTATTTTATTATTATAATGTTTTTTTCTCGATTCAACTAAGATTTTATCATAACTTTTTTTTTCAGCTTTGTACAATTCTTTAAAACTACTATCAGAATTGCTTAATCCTAACAATAAATCTAAATTTTGCTTACATGCTGCCAGTTCAGGGTTGCTATAAAACATCTTATTTCGATTTATGTCTTACAGTTTTTTTTGGAAAGTGCTCATTGAAAAGTTTTAAAAAAATTGATGAAAAATTATCCCACTGACTATCTACATTGTGAGCCTCTATTTTATAAACTGTTTCCCAGTTTTCCTGTCCCAGCTTATTTACAAACTTTTGACTGTTCTAAATATGTTCTCACTAATTTACTTGAAATAGTTTTGTTGTTTTGTATGTTAAAAGAAATTTTTTGTGCAAAATGATCAGAAATATGATTTGAAATTATAAAACTATTTACATGGTACTTAATATTACTAAATATATTATCTATGCTGCTTTTTGTATTATTTGTTATCCTTGTGTACTCTTCTATATGTTTATGTAATGAGAAAGAATCAAGAAGTGATAAAAACCTTGTTTTATATTTATTGTCAGTCTTAAGTTCAATGTTGAAGTCACCACCCAAGACAATTGTTTTATTCTCACCCTGTATACTATTTAAAAGTTTTTCTAACAGTTCTAAAAATGTTTCTTTGTTACCTTTACATGGCCTGTACATTGCTATTGCGATAAATACTTCTTTGTTGATGGAGCATTCTACTGCTGCACATTCCATTTCACCTTTTACTGAGAAGTCACTAATTTTTTTCCTTGGTTTATATTCAAGACTAGAATTCACAAAGACAGCTGCACCTCCATGTTCGTTTTCGTCCCTACACCATTGTGCTGCAAGATTAAAGTTTTGTATTGGTAGTAGTCTCAACTGCTCATCTGTTTTCCAGTGCTCTGTTACAAGAAAGAGCATACAATTGTTTTCTTTTTGCAAAAGATATCGCCACTATATAAGACAAAAACTATATAATATTTGCATATTAGTGCAAATTTTTGCGCCTTGTTCCATACCACACCTTCTATACCTAGTATTTCACTAACATGTTAAAATTTATATTTACTGTTTTTATGAAGTATTTTTTTCTAAAACCCAAAATTTACTTCTCTTTAGAATAAATGTTTTTTTATATTTGGTTCAAAGTAGGTAACTCTTTTTCAATCCTAAATTTCCAACAGGAAGAAATTATTTCTGAAGCGTTCGCCGAACTAGGAATCAACAGAGGTGACATTAATGGCAAAAACCAATCCAGACTAGACCGCATTCAATTTACCTTGAACGGCAACACCAGAGCCAGCACTGCTCACGCCTTTTTGGATGGATTCCAAGATGAAAGAACAAACCTACTCCTTTCGCTTAACAGTTTCGTTACGAGAATTTTAATTGAAAAATCAACAAAAACGGCTTACGGTGTGGAATTTATTCGAAATGGTGAATTGTACACAGTGAATGCCACTAGAGAAGTCATTGTATCCGGTGGAGCTATAAATACTCCTCAAATTTTAATGCTATCGGGAGTTGGACCTGCCTCGCACTTGAGCGAATTGGGTATTGATTTGGTACGGGATTTGCCAGTTGGTGAGAACATGGAAGATCATATTGGGTATACTGGACTTTATTACAGGTATAGATTCTACTTTCACTTGAATAAAGAGCTTATATTTATTTGCGTTGTTAAATATCAAAGTTGTTTACTTATAAATCTTACATCCTGACTGCTCGCTATACATAGTCAATGTGAAACATTACACCTTTTTATTATTTTTGTTCGGTTCGTTCGGTTTTACATAAGAAAATATAAAACGAATTTTCTCATTTGCTTGATGACAACTGCACACAAAAGACTGTTGCGGTAATGAAAGCACAAAATTTTTTTGCTCTGACTTTTTTCTCCCAATACGCTGGCCTCATAGGTATATTAAATTTTCTTTGTTAAAGAACCGACAAAACATTTTGGAACATAACAACAGAAGAAATGGTACGACGTTGGACTGAAAACTTACGTCCTTTAACAGCAGGCTTATGTTCCGAAATGATAGCCTTCACGAACGTAAATAATGGATCATTAGGTCGTCCGGATACAGAAATTGCCATGCTCAACTCTGTATTTCCTCCAGCGGGCCTAGCAAGTGCCTTCCAGTTAAATGCAAAATACGCTGCTGCCTATGATAATACACTGCACGATTGGTGGTTCATTCATGCTCTACAACATCCCAAATCCAGAGGGACCGTCAAACTACAGTCGAACGATCCAAAGGATTTCCCTCTGATTGATCCTAATTTCTTATCAGATGAAGAGGGTTACGATTTGGAGATATCTTGGGGTGAGGATTAAGAATATTTTGCAAAAAAAATTCAACGATTTAAATTCCAGGCTCAATTCTTACTTGAATTAAACAAAACCGTTGCCTTCAATAATTACCCCGCCACAGTCCATAACGTTCCGGTACCCGATTGTGACGACATCCACGAGCCTCTATCGAAAGACTGGTGGGTTTGTGCCATCAAGCAATTGACAATTTCCGTAAGTACTTTCTAAAATTTCTTTTAAGGCTAATCAAAATTAATTTTACTACCTGTATAAATATTTAGTTCTACCATCCAAGTGGGACGGCACGTATGGGTGATTCTCCGGCGAATTCTGTTGTCAACCACCATTTGCAAGTGCACGGGATCCAGGGTCTTAGAGTAGTGGACGCATCAGTTATGCCGGAAACTATTACTGGTCATATTGGTGCCGCTGTTATTATGATTGCTGAAAAGGCGGCTGACATTATCAAAGAACACTATTAAATGCTCCGAAAATTGAATTTTTGTTAATAATAGATTTAAATTAATAGAAAAACTTTGTACTCAATATTTTTATAGTCTGTGCCCCATGATTTACCCATCCCAGACGGCACAAATATATTGCAGGAATATTCATGGCATATTTTATGGGAATATAGAGATAGTACCTATTCCATCCATATGCTATGCAGATCAATTCACGTGAGAGGGATATCCCAAGCATATGCTTAAGTCACCATGAAACATATCCCTGCGATATGCCCCATATATGACAATTAGATAATATGGGAATATTCATTTAATATGCAATATCCTTAAAGAATATCCCCTGTAAACTGACCCCTCGACCTGTTCTTCCTTCCACACCTAAAAACTAAAAAGAGCCGAATTTGTCAAAATGGCGAGTGTCCTACATGTTCACATGCTCTATAGACAAACCACATTTCTGGGGTCGCTTTAGACAAGGCATCATCCCAAAGTTTCAGAACAGCTTCTGCTGTTGTTGTTCTGCAAGCCCATTTGCCATAAAAACTTTTTGAGATGCCCCAAATCAATTATGGTATTGAACTAGCTGTGGTAAATCGGCAGCCAAAGAACTTCGTGTCCATATTTAAAAGCCATTTCGTGGATAACATACTGTTTCTCTTTGCCAGTATAACGGTTTTACCTTTGCCAATAGGATAGCCTTTAAATTTAAACTGAAACTGCCTCAATTGTTCTTTTATGGAAGAAGGTTTGGAATTGTTTCAAATATGTCTCCTGTAATATGAGGCATTATTTAAACTTATTAAAGTTTCAAGTCTTCCAGAAGACTTTCTTCAAACCACTTTTCTCCACTCTGCGTTCATGCTATTATGGTAGTCTCTGAATTTGAAGCTGCAGGAAATAAGACTAAGGTACTTGCAATTTTTGGTTTCATCCTGCCACGTTCTTTTATCTTAGCTCTCCTTTTGCGAATATCCATGTCTCATCCAAGAACACAACATCTTTCGAGAAAGTGGAGTTTTTATTTCTAAAGTAGTGTCTTAGAAAGGTCCATCTTTTACTAACGACATGCTTTGCTCACATAAAAATTTTCTGTGTTTGGATTTTTTATACCTAAAACCTGATTGTGACAGATGGCGCTGAGCGTAACTAATTCCTTTGTTCTAAAAAACTATTCTTCTAAAATAAGTAGTATGCGACAAAATATTTTTGAACAGAAAAGGCCTCATATCTTGAAAGGAATACAAAATCGATAACAACACTAGAAACTTATCTGTATAGTAAACTCCAAGAACGGTGAATTTTTGCTAATATAATATAACCAATTTCGTATCATTTACCGGTCTGGTTAGTGACGTATAATTTTCGGTGTATCTCTACGAACGAAAACCTCTTTAGCATTCCGCGTGTGGTTAAATTCACTAAAATGGTGCACCGCCACGGATGCAGTGATTACGATTCACCATTACTGATGCCAAACCACCAGACCAAAAATCGGGTCACCAGACAGAACAGAACATGGAAGAACAGAACATAGAGAGAACAGAGAATAAACATAACATGGAAAAATAGAACAGTGAAAAAACAGAACAACTAGAACAAGGAAAAAAGGTAAATATGACATAACAGAACCAAGAAAAAATAAAACACTTAAATGAAACAGCCTTGACAAAACAGAACTCTGAAAAATAAGAACTAAAGGGAAAAAAATTTTTACACAAATATGAAAGTCCCATATAAATAAATCATGGAAAACTCTAAGAAGGTTCTTCAGGTAAAGATAGATTGATACAAGCATGGGCCACGACCTTTTCCAAGTTTTTTAGGCGACATTAATTAGCTTGATTGAACTGAAAACCATACAGTGAAACCCACCGAGCATATAAGCATCAGCTACTAAATTCAATTAACACTACAGTATTTTGGTATAATAGCCAATAAAATATGCAAACCTATCACAATTAAAAAAAACGCTCTAAAAATGCGAAACTCTGAGGAGGTTTCCTCTAGGTAGGGTCTTAGTATAAAAGTAGATAGGTATTGCCTTTATCAAAGCTTAAAAAAGTGTGGTAATTTTCATTAAAATTCAATAACAAGATATCTTTAGTTTTGTTTTTCATCCTTTATTTTTTCCTGTTGTTCTTATATTCCAGGATTTGTTTTGTCAAGTTTTTTTATTTCAGTGTTCTCTTTTTTCTTGATTCTGTTTATGTCATGGTTCTCTTTTTTCCTTGTTTTGTATTAACACTGTTCTGTTTTATCACTGTTCTGTTTTACCACTTTTCTGTTTTTTTTTATGGTCTGTTCTTTCTTGTTTTGTTCTAACTGTTCTTTCATGGAACCCAAAAATCGTTGTTCTAGATTCAGCTAGAGTAGAGCGCCAACAGACAAACATACCGACAGAATTGAGGAAACATACATAATTTTCTTAGCCTATGGTATAAATGTGAAAAAACTTCGAGGTCGATTGTTAATGTGAATACAATATCTTCCTTACTACCGAGAGAAGTAAAAAAGGTACATATTTCTTTGAAAAAATAAAACAAATAAGAATTTTAGTTTAAACCTTCATTTAAAAATTATCTACAATATTACATAGAATCCTTATTTACAATGTTATATACAATTTATTTATTATGTGTCGATAAATGCTTAACCATTTGATCTCTTCTGATAAAATATTTATCACAAACCTGGCATTTATGTAATTTTTTCCCGGTATGTAGAACATTATGTCGGGTTAGGTCCATCTTATAATTGAATGTCTTGGGACACTGATCACACTGGAAACGCTTTATGCCGTTATGTCTCTTCTGGTGTTCTTCTCTGTCGAAATCTCTCGCAAATTTTTTCCCACATATGGCACATCGAAAAGGTTTATTTCCACTATGAAGAGCATTAATGTGCTGGGTCAAATAGCAGGAACGAGTGAATTCCCTGTCGCAGAGGAAGCATTTAATTTTTTGGTCACTTAGATTTGTCGTTGGTACAACTTGCAGCATTTCTTGTAGCTGTGTGGGCTTTGAGTTTACTTTTTCAAGAGTTGGTGCTGGTGCAAAATAATGACAGCGATTCATCTGGATGGACTGATTTTGAACTATAAACTCGAAAGCAAATGGAACTTCTTGCACGTTGCATCTTTGCAGTTTGAAAGTATGCTCTGTGTAGTTCAGTTGGGGCTTGACGAATTTGGTTTGTAGCTTTGGGGATAAATATCCGCTACCATCGACATCATATTTGGCTATTTCTTGAGAATCCAAATCAAAAATGGATTGGTCCGAGCCAATAGCACACTGCATTGATTCCTTTTGATAGGATGGTTTCTGGTCAACTGGAGGTTTTGGAAATATGATTGATTTACACATCGAGTAACTCTCTTCTTCAAGACCATTCTGCAGCAGTTGGTGGGATTCGGTAAAATAATCCATGATCACAGTAATTAGCACACACACGACTTGATACTTCTCTTATTACAGATTTGCGTCTGTTTGCGAACTCTTTTTGGCCGGCCCTTATATTTACCTTGCAGGTCAAATTTCCTATTCGAATGCAAATGAACTTCCTTGTAAGTTGAGTGGTAATTAATCCATCCTTTTAATGTAATGCAGTGATTATTCTCCGAAATTATTCAGATCCCTTTCTTGTGGCGTTTCTGGAAATGTACCTACCGAATCAGACAGGTAACCATATTTTATTATTTACTCTAATCCATCAAGAATAATAGGACAATAAAATTAAATTAGCACAAAAGTGAAGTTTAGTGATGTTTTCATGAGAATTACCTTTTGACTAAAATTTGGGACAAAACAGACTAATCTATAGTAAAATACAAAAGTGGCGAAAATTCAAGAATAAATTTTGTGCAATGTAGGTATTTCATATATTGTATTGGGAAAAGTCATAAATGAGAAAATAATTGAATATTTTTTTAGATAGCCTATTGAGAACCTCAATTTTGAGTAACGCGTTTTATTGGAAGAAGTATTTCATAACTGTATATTGCCGAGGGTATCAGTTGCCGGACGAGGCACATGAAAGTGGACCATCACCAAAATTAGCATAAAACCCTTCACCTATATGTATATCTTTCAAAAGTCATTTTGAAGAATAATCAATCGCCCAGAAATGATAATTTGGGTATGAAAATTAGGTGGGTAAAAGATATTCTGTGGTTAAAGTATCAGATATCGAGGGTTTTGTCGTTTTTAATGCAATTTTGAGAATCGCGCAGTTTAAAAGCGTACTTTAAATAGAAGGATTTTGAATGAAAAGAAGTAGAAAAACGCAGAAAATCGTTGAAATGCAATTCAACACATATTCCGGAAATTGTCTCTTGATGTTTCCACAAAGAAAACCAAAAAGAAGCAATTTAGACCTTTTGGGAGGAATAGTTCTGATAGCTTAGCTGATCAAGTCCGTCGTAGAGTCTCCTCTGAAATACACTTGGTTGCCGCCGAAGGTAGATATCATCCCAATTGTTATGCCAAGTTTACTCGTTCAAAATCTAACATTTTTTCTGGTAGACCAGAAATTAAATCGGCCTTCATAGCATTTCAGAAGCTAATTCAGTATATTGATGACAACAAAAATTAAATATGTTAGTTTTCATTCGAATAATTGTTATCCAAATATAATGACCTGCCCGAAAATGACGAACCGTGGTCATCAATTTACCTTAAGCAAAAACTTACCAAACACTACAACGATATTCCAGGAAAGTCAACTGTATTTTGTTTTAAAGGAGCGGTTCAAGATTTAGTGAAAAACTGTAGCAACTTTTTAAACTTGAATCCTGTTGAACAAAAGGAAAAAGTTGTATCAATGGCCGCGAATGTTTTGAAAGAAGAAGTTCGATCAAAGTTCTATGTTTTGGATCAATACCCCTCATCCAGTGATATTACAAATGGAGGCTTTGAAAACATTCCACAACTGTTACTTACTTTTTTATCTGCACTTACCAACAAATCAGAAAACAATAAAGTTGTACATATTGGCCATAGCCAATTCTATTATAAGTGCAGTTAGACCTCGGTCCTATATTTCTCCTATTTTATTTGCTATTGGGGTCTACATTCATCGCAAATATGGTTCAAAAAGTCTTATAGATAGGTATGTTACATTCTGTTGGATTCTCGCAAAGTTATCGCGAAATCCTTTTAAATTTGAAACAGCAAACAGCCGCTTCTTATGAAAATAATTTTGATGTAACTAATGATGCATTTCAACAGTTTGTATATGACAATGCTGAGTATAATGTAAGATCTCTGGATGGGTATGGTACTTTCCACAACTTAAGGGGTATAGTTTGTATATCACCGGCAAATACGTATGTTTCATCAGATAGTGTTTCAAGAAAAACTAACACACCTAAGGACATGAAAGGCTCATTTAATTGTATTCCCATAGTTCCTTATAAAATAAATATATTTAGTTTAAAAAAACTAAAAAACACGCTTTTATAGTAAATTGATAGTCCAAGCAATGAAGGAAGTTTACCTCAACATAATTAGAAGTTAACATTTTTTGGGGGGGATCGGTTCATTTTCATGTGCTTAATAACATATTAAGTTTGCGACCTTGTACTTCCATAGGGTTTTCAGTTAGGGGTGGTTTTTAGGGTTAATTTGCAGTTTATGGAGAACGCTGCTCAAAAGGATGATCCAATAGCAAAAAGTTTCAAATCAATGTTGTAGCTGAAGCTTTTTGCTATAAAAAACTCAGCGACAGCACCCTTCTATCTTCTATAGTTGTTTTTCTGCAGCGTCTTGAATAGTAGCATGTTTTTGTTCAAGGTCACTGAATCAACGTTTTGTCATTTTGCGCGCATTTGTTGCAGCACAGCGGCCGAATGCATAATCCGATTTCAATTTTTCAAACACCACATTATTTCTAATGAAATGCACTCTCCAATGCTTTTTTGTTCGAATTTTTTGCTTGAAAATTAAGCGAGCACGGACTTGTCTAATGTGCGAGGAAGTTGTAAATTGCATCGAAAACTACCCCTTTCTTGCATTCACTCTAATTTCTAAACGGGGCCAAATATTTGGTGACAGTTTTCGACAATCGGCAGCCCATTTATTCCTCTCATAATGCCCCAGCGGACTTTTTTTTTCGTTAATCACTTAATGACTTATTGGCCTGAAAACGTCGCGCGCGATTTTTCAAAAAGTAAAAAAAAATTAAAATTGTCGCATAGCGCTGAAATTTGGTAGGATGGCTTTATTTATTGTTCTCATGATTATACTGCAATTTTATATCATGTGAAGCAATTAAAATTGCAGTATATTCGTAAGAACAATAAATAAGGCCATCGTACCAAATTTTCAGCGCTATGCGACAATTTTATTTTTTTTTTAATTTTTGAAAAATCCCGCGCGACGTTTTCAGGCCAATAAGTCATTAAGTGATTAACGAAAAAAAAATCCGCTGAGGCATTATGAGAGGAATAAATGGGCTGCCGTTTGTCGAAAACTGTCACCAAATATTTGGCCCCGTTTAGAAATTAGAGTGAATGCAAGAAAGGGGTAGTTTTCGATGCAATTTACAACTTCCTCGCACATTAGACAAGTCCGTGCTCGCTTAATTTTCAAGCAAAAAATTCGAACAAAAAAGCATTGGAGAGTGCATTTCATTAGAAATAATGTGGTGTTTGAAAAATTGAGATCGGATTATGCATTCGGCCGCTGCTGCAACAAATGCGCGTAAAATGGCAAAACGTTGATTCAGTGACCTTGAACAAAAACATGCTACTATTCAAGACGCTGCAGAAAAAAAAATATAGAAGATAGAGGGGTGCTGTCGCTGAGTTTTTTATAGCAAAAAACTTCAGCTACAACATTCATTTGAAACTTTTTACTATTGAACCATCCCTTTGAGCAGCGTTCTCCATAAACCGCAAATTACCCCTAAAAACCACCCCTAACTGAAAACCCTATGGAAGTACAAGGTCGCAAACTTAATATGTTGTTTAGCATATTAAAATGAACCGATCCCCCCAAAAAAATTTCAACTTCTAATTATGTTGAGGTAACCCCTCTTTTCAGATCTCCGTTTCTTGGACTATGAACTAAAAAGTGAAAAATAATTTTTAATATAAACAGAAAATATTAATGAACAAAAAATGCGACACCTGCAGCCGGATTACAATTTCACTAGTCGACACGAGTCGAGCGTCTCGTATAGGCAACAAAAACGTTATTTCTGAGTCGCATCCTTCGGCTTCGAGCAATTGGAATCCCCACACTGAGTGTGTCATTCCTGAATTCGCCCCAGAGATTTCCAGACTTTTGCAGACATTATCCAGACTTATTCAGAGCTTTCCAGAGTTTTCCAGATTTCATCCAGATTTATCCAGACTTGTACAGACTGATCCGGATTCTGTAAAATGATCCTTAGGTCTTTTGGGACCTTTTCCAGAATTTTTCCGACCCTTTCAAGAAGTTTCCAGGTCTTTTTCAGATGTTTCCAGAGATTTCCAGACTTTTCCAGACTATATCCAGACTTATCCAGAGTTTTCCAGACTTCATCCAGATTTATCCAGATTTTATCCAAACTTTTTCAGACTGATCCGGATTCTAGAAAATGAACCCCAGGTCAATTGGGACCTTTTCCAGAACTTTTCCGATCCTTTCCAGAAATTTCCAAGTCTTTTCCAGACGTTTCCAGAGATTTCCAGACTTTTACAGACAATATCCAGACTTATCCAGAGTTTTACAAACTCTATCCAGATTTATCCAGACCGTATCCAGACTTGTACAGGCTGATCCGGATTCTGGAAAATGATCCCCAGGTCTTTTGGGACCTTTGGCAGAATTTTTCCGACCCTTTCCAGAAATTTCCAGGCTCTTTCCAGATGTTTCCAGAGATTTCCAGACTTTTCCGGGCATTTTCCAGACTTTTCCAGGCTTTATCCAGATTTATCCAGACTTGTTCCAGCTCACTTGGCTTGTTCCAGATTCTTGTTCATACACTTCCCAAGAGTCCAAAAGTTCGCACGCATTCCTATGTGCCCGTGCGATAAACATTTTCAATGTTACTTATAAACATACAAACATACAGGTGAAGCTAATATAAGCGTGTTAAAAACATGTTTAGGTCTTAAAAAAGTTACCGTTCAACCAAATACTGACTTTGAAGAAATTAATCAAACACTTAACAAAGTTAAATTATTAAATTGTCTTTGGATGTCTCGTTTCTTATTAGACTTTGATAACAAACCTAGTTGGAATGGGTATATATGACAAACACTGTGTCAGGAAATGCGGAAACTACTCTTGTTCTTCCACTACCATTTATTAATCTTGAGCCTGGAAACCTTACTTCAATAAATTCAGCTCTTATCTTTGCTGTTGAACAATGCAAAAAACAAAATCAAAATTTATGTTTAGTTACGTTTGATCAGCCCTTATACCGGGTGTTCATTTGAAAA